TCTTTCCTACTTTGGAGTCTAACATCCAAGTAATGTATAGTTGAACTTGTTAGTAATTTTTGTATCAGCTTAGTTTTCATCATGAACTTTACGAATTAAATGTTCTTTTTTACATTCATAAGTATTAACTCTTTCAAATTTTGCAATAATCACTAATCATCACAGCTTATTAATGGATTGCCCAATACCAACAAACTTCATAACAATTATCAACCTTTCGATTTATGGAATTTGATGACAGTAATGATTATATTATACAGAATAATACTAATAAAATAAATAGTAAAAGCTTACAAATGGACTTACTGAGGATTGTAAATATCAACAGCATCTTGATAATAGATTTGATAAATATTTATCGAGTACAGTTGGTTCAGCATTAGCGATCAGAGTGTAATTGAAGTGCCTATAATTGTGAATATTAGCAGCATTTGGTAGAATTGGATGATAATTTTAACAAATATCAGCAGCATTTGGTAGAATCGGACAATAATCTTAATGAATATCAGCAGCATTTAGTAAAATCAGATGATAATCTTGATGAATATTAAAATGCAAAGTGTAGTGTAAATGAACTAAAGCTAGAAGTTAGTAATACTTTTAAGGATTGTGATGCTGTTAAGCATGCAATTAAGCAATTTGCTAAACAGCATAACTTTGTTGCCAATAAGTTTTCAAAAATCTTGATACTTTTGATAAAACTATAATTAGATGTCATTATTATAATTGTTGAAAATCAGGAAAGCACAAACCAAAAAAGGTGAAAGATATTAGTGTGCATTATAACAATGTTTCTAATAAGACTAACTGCAAATAGCAGATTAGTTTTTATTTTGGAAACATAACAATCTTATTAGTCTTACAAAATTAAAAATATACATAACCACCTGTGTGCTCCAAAAAATATTGAATTGGCTCCTACAAATTTATGCCTTTCACAACAAATCCTGAATAAAATTGAATATTATACTATTACTAGTTGCTTAGATGCTAATCAACAATACAATCTTTTCATCAAAGAATTTCTGAAATATCATATTCAAAAAAAATCTTGTATAATGCGATTAATAGCTTCAGAGATATAAGAGTCCATAATAAATCTAATGTAGCCACTATGCTGCTATATCTTTTGAAACAACAAGCTCAGGACCATGATTATATCATTATACCACAGCTAGAAGGTTTATCCAATGAACTCACAAGACTCTTTTGGATGATTAGTCAACAATGTAATGATTTATAGACAAAATATCATGATATAATTATTTATGATAATACAGCTAAGACACATTGTTATGAAATAGCTCTTAATTTATTCATTTGTATTGACAAGAACTATAAAACAAAAATTGTTTATCAGGCTTTAATCAAATATGAAACACAATCTGGCTATAAATGAATTTTGTGATGTGTATTAGAGATGACTGATAACTTACAATCTAAAGTATTATTTACAGATAGGGATCCCGCAATGAATGCTGCAATTCATGTAATATATCTACAAGTGCATCATTGTTGTGCATTTATCACATCACAAAAAATATAAAAAAAAAAGCAAAAGCCAAGTTGCATGATGATTTAATAATGACATTTGTTGAAGACTTTTATTATATAAAAAACAGTTATATCTAAAAGCAATTTGAGTCAAGATACTAGGACATGTTAATAAAATATGAACTATATCATCATTATCTTGAAAATAGACTTTATTCTAGTCGCACTTTCTGGGCAAGATATTCTATTATAAAAGTTTTTACAGCTAGAGTTGAGTCAACCCAGTAGGTCAAATCAATTAATGAAGTTCTTAAAAAACATGTAGATCATGATACTTTATTAAAAGAATTAGTAAAAGCAGTTGAAGATGAATTAGAAAAAGAACTACAGTATACTAGAATCAAAGATTATTATAGTTTAAACCTATCAGTTGGGCTTTTATTAGTTTATGAGACTATTGATGATGTATTGAAAAATAATTTGGCTTCTATTCCTTTGTCTTTCCAACAAGCACAGATGAATCAAGCATTACTTTATCAAGAAACATTAATTTCTATTAATTAAGTATGTAAATTAAATATTATTCTTTTTTTTATGACTTTTAATAATATTAATCATACTTTATTATAAGATTAAAAAACCTGATACTACTCTTAGTGGTATAATTGAGCATCTATATAATACACCACAAATTTATCTAAAAGAACTCTTGACTAATATACTTTATGATGATATTCAAGAAGTTTGGGAAATATCATATATTGCATCAACAATTAAGCTATATACACCACATTATGTTACATTTTGAATGATTTGATATTACTTTACATCTGTATGCAAATTGTAAATCAAGAAATACTATGTCAACATCAATATTGGATTCTAATTCAGTCAAGTAAAGCTGCATTTCATATATTATTCATTCACAATCGTTGGTTGGAAAAAGTTTCATCAAATGCAATGAATTACATTACAATTACTCAAGGAAAAATGAATTCTACAACTATACTATTGTACTATATTAATCATATTAGACCTGATTATATTTTGTACCTACTATTAAGGAAGAAGTTAATAAAAGAATTCAATGTAGAACTATGATGTTATTTGCGAAAAGGGGTCATCCATAATTTACGTAAAAAAACATATATAGTAAAGATTTGCAAAAATACAAAAAATAACAAAATTGATGATATCTTGTGACCCAGTAATCCAATTTTAACAATTTTGATATCATTCGAACCAACTAATCGAGATGAATCGAATGATATCAAAATCGTTAAATTTGAATTACTGGATCACGAGATAATTACATTTAACTAAAATTGTAAAAT